GAGTCATAGCAGCTCTACTTAGTACATAGAAACAAACACAGGGAGGCTGCCAAAATAAGTAGGCAAAGGAACATGGCCCAAAAGAAAGAACAGATCAAAACTCCAGAAAAAGAAATGAACAAAATGGAGATAAGCAATCTAACAGATGCAGAGTCCAAAACACTGGTTGTAAGGATGCTCAAGGAACTTAAGGACCTCAATGACATAAAAAAAGATCTACTCAGAAATGGAGGATACATTAATTGAAATAAGGAACAATATACAGGATAACAACAGTAGAGTGGATGAAGTGGAGAATCAAATCAATGATTTGGAACATAAGGAAGCATAAAACAACCTTGTAGAACAAAAGGAAGAAGAAAGAGTCCCCCCAAAAAAGAGAAGAAGATAGTATAAGCAGACTCCAGCAGAACTTCAATAGGTCCAACATTTGCATCATAGGGGTGCCAGAAGAAGAAGAAAAAGCAAGAAATTGGAAATCTATCTGAAAAAATAGGGAAAGGAAACTTCCCTAATTTGGTAAAGGAAATAGACATGCAAATGCAGGAAGCACAGAGTCCCAAACAAGATGGATGCAAAGAGGCCTACTCCTAGACACATCATAATTAAATGCCAAAGTTTAAAGATAAAGAGAGAATCTTAACAGCTGCAAGAGAAAAGCAGTTAGTTACCTACAGGGGAGTTCCCATAATACTCTTTGCTGATTTCTCAAAAGAAAGTTTGCAGGCTGGAAGGGCTTGGAAAGAAATACTCAAGGTCATGAAAGGCAGTGACCTATAGCCAAGATTGCTCTACCCAGAAAAACTATCATTTAGAATCCAAGGGCAAATAAAGAGCTTCCCAGACAAGAAAAAACTAAAGGAGTTCATCATCATCAAACCATTATTATATGAAATATTGAAGGGTCTTATTTAAGAAAAAAGAGATCAATACTATGAACAATAAAATGGCAATAAATACATATCTATTAACAAATGAATAAAAAACAAACTAAACTAACAAGAACAGAGACAGAATCATAGACATGGAGAGAGATTCCATAGATGGGAGGGGGCTTGGGGAAATGGGTGAAGAGGTGAGAGGATTAAGTACAAATAGGTAGTTACACAATAGGCATGGAGATGTAGAGTCCAATATAGGAAATGGGGCAGCCAAAGAACTAATACATATGACCCATGGACATGAACAAAGGTGAGGGGATTGCCTGAAGGAGCAGGGGGACACTGGGTGGAGGGGGACCAAGGGGGACAGTTGGGACAACTGTAATAGCATAATAAATAAAATATATTAAAAATAAAACAATGTTTGGTTTTATATTACAACTACATTTTGTCTTGAATATTTAACTTTATAAAGAATATAAAAAGAAATCCCATTAAGTAATAATTTCCAAATAAGTCCAAATATAAAGCAAAGCCCCAAGGATGGAAAGTGAGGTCCTACCTTCTACTTTGAAAATGGATTGAGGGCCTGAGGGTCAAATCTAGCACAGCCCCCAGCTTTCCCAGCCATTTCAACCTGGAAAGAGGGTGTTATTCACCCACAGAAGCAGTGGGTGGCAAAAACAGTGACTTGAAGACCCTAAAGAGCATGAGGGAAGCCTGATTTGGCTGGTGCCCCAGGAGGCTGCAGGAACCTTTTCCCATTTAGTAAAATGGGCACCAAACTAGGGCATCATTTGCTTAAGGTACCTCCTGCCTGCTTACATGCATTTCAATAGCTTAGTATCTTAAATTCTGTGATTATATACTCATGAGTCAGTCAAATAGGTCTCAAGTCTTTCCCTGTGGGGTTTTAATATAACACATATAATCTTTTTCTGTTAATACTCACTGCTTTTCTTTGATTATGTGCCAGAAAATGATATAAATAAAGGTGCTGTGACAGTCACTTAGAGCAGACACAGGCCTTTTAGCATAGTGGGGGACACAGATAACAAACAATACCACGAGGACATGATTGTAAACAGAGATAAGTGTTATGAGGAAAAAGTACAGAAACCATAATAATGTGTAGCATAGTCATGATACAGTTAAGGCTGAAGACTGGAGAAGATGTCTTTGAGGAAAAACAATTTAAACTGAGGTTTGAAGGATGTGTACTCATTATATACTCATGACTGGCTCTATACTAATGACTGGCTCATGAGTATATTTGAAGGATGCCTCTGTGCACACACAAGTTATCGTACTCAGAAATGAGAAGAAATTGCATGTGCAAAGGCCCCACGATGAGACAGCATAAATGATTTAAGGCACTGAAAGGCCAATCTTGTTGAAGGGACAAAGGGGAAAATAATGCAAAATATGGCTGAAAACACAGACAAGGATCTAATCAAGCAGACACTTATGGGCCATATAAAGGATTCTGGTTTTTTTTTTTCCCTAAAACAATGGAAACTTTGAAGTTTCTGAAGAGTTTCAAGAAGAGAGTGAAATGATAAAATTTACATTTAAGAAAAATACTCTGGCTGCACAGACAGTGGCTCAGAGCAGAGCAAAGTGAGTTTAGGGAAACCCATAATGACACCATTTCCGTGGTGGGAAGAAAATGACCAAAGTTTGGACAAGGGTAGCAGCAGCAGAGGCATGGGGAAGTGGCCCAGTTCAGGACATGTTCTGAAGACAGAGTAAACAGAACTTCTAAGTGGATTGGATTTAGAGCATAAGAAAAAGGATAGAAACAGAGGTAACTTCAAAGGTTCTAGCCCAGGCAACTATAGGACTTGTAGAGACATTGACTGATGGGCATTCAGAGCCAGAGACCAAGTCTGGAGAAAGGTGGAGAAGACTTTAATTTGGGGAACTTTGAGTTTGATATCAGTTGTGAGGTAGGTGATGTGATCAATGAATATGGCACTCAGAGAAAAAATTTGGGCTAGAAAGTGGGTATGTGTAATCAGCATTTGGATGGCAACTCAGGTGAGGGGGTTGATGAAATCACAGGAAAAAGTGCAGAGTAAAAGAAGTGCAGGTGCTAGGACAGTCCCTTAAGGAATGTCAACATGAAGGAGGGGGATCTGGCCCAGGGGGCCAACCAGCAGTGTAAGATGGGAAGAAAACAAGAAAGAAGAATATTTCAATGGGGTGGTTAATAACACAGAATGCTGCTGAAAAGTCAAGAAAGATGAGGACTGAAATATGCCCATTAACATTTATCAACATCAAGGTCATGGGTAACTATAACAACACTTTAGCGTGATGTGGCAAAGTCAGACTGAAGCATGTTGAGGAGGGATGGGGGGAAGAGAATGGAGACAGTGAGTGAAAGCAACTTCTTGGAGTAGTTCAGCTTAAAGGAGAGGAAAGGCAGCAGTAGCTAGTGGGGGAGATTGGGTCAAGGGGGAATATTTTGGTTTTATTATTATTTTTAATTTTTTTAAAAAGATTTTATTTATTCATCTTTTAGAGGGAAGGGAAGGAAGGAGAGAAGGAGAGAAATATCAATGTATGGTTGCCTCTCCTGAGTCCCCTGCTGAGAACTGGCCTGCAACCCAGGCATGTGCCCTGACTGGGAACAGAACTGCGATCGTGTGGTTCACAGGCCCGCACTCAATCCTCTGAGCTATACCAGCCAGGGCAATATTTTGGTTTTAAAATGGGAAAAAATTGAGCTTATTCAAATACTATTAAGAGTCCAGTAAAGAGGTAGAAATTGAACATAAAAAAAGCCCAGAAGGATAGCTGAGGTTCCTGAGATGGCAGAAGGGACTGGGATTGAGAGTACAGTTGGTGAGGTCAGCGTTAGACAGGAGACAGAACACAGCCTCCATGTGCAGGGAAGGAAGGAGAGGGTGGGTACAGATGCAGGTTGGTAGGTAAGTTTGGTAGCAGAGCAAGTTCTAACTTGTGCGTGTAGTAATTCATTGTGAAAAGATGTGTTTGTGTGCACTGAAGGGCTTGTAGTCAAAGATAAGTTGCTATTTTAAACTAAATACAGCAAAATGAAAATTCTTCACTGTACAGTTTTGTTTTATTTGGCTCTGTTTAATTAGTAGTCTTTTAACTTTATATTATCTTTTATAATATATATATTTTTAATTTAGGTTAGTTGAGGTTAAATTTACAGAGAATAAGATTTTCAATTCACCCTTTCTAGATGTATATTACTATGAGTCTTGACAAAATGTATAGTTTCATAACTGCTACTAAAATCAACATACAGAATATTTCAATCACCCTAAAGAATTCCTTCTTGCTCCATTATAATCAATTCCCTCCCCCAGCAGCCCCTAGGCAACCACTAATCTTATTTCTAGTCCTACAGTTATACCTTTTACAGAATGCCACACCAGTGGAATCACATCCTATGTAGCCTCCTGCGTCTGCTGGCTTCTGTTACTTACCATGATGCTTTTGAGATTCACTCAGAGTTGTCAAATGTATCAATAGTTCATTCCATTTTATTGCTAAGTAAGATTCAATTGTTTAGCTAAACCAAAACTCACTTAGACACTCACTGGTTTAGGCTGTTCCCAGTTCTGGGAGACTATGAGTAAAGCTATGAGTATTTGTGTAGAAGAAGTCTGTGTGGGCATGCTTTCATTTCTCATAGATAGGTACCCAGAAATGGGATTGCTGGGTTTATGGTGAGTGTTACATTTAATGTTATCAGAAACTGCAAAATAGTTTTTCCCAAGGAATATACCATGTTACATCCCTACCAGCAATGTATCAGAGTTTTAGTTTTTCAACCTCACCAATACTTGTTATTGTTAGTTTTAAAAAGCTACTCTAGTAATTGTATATATTATCTCATTAAGGTTGTAATTTGATTTCTCTAGTGACTAATGATGTTGAGCTTTCATGTCCTCATTTGCCACTGAATATCTTCTGATATAATGTCAAGCCTAATATTTGGTCCATATTATTGTTTGTCTTCTTATTAAATTGTGATAATTTAAACAATATTCTGGATATAAATCTTTGTGAGATACATATTTTGAAAATGGTTTTTAAGTCTGCATTATTTATACATTCTTTATTTTCCTTCTCTTTTTTCCATGTGTCTAGGGCATGAACCAGGCATGAGCACAGACCGCAGCCAGGCTGGCATCAACAAGGAGTTACTTCATTCCTGTCTGATAGGAGACCAGCGTCAGCAAACCAGGTGCAACCGTACCCAGCTCAGGGACATGTATATTCTTAACAGTACCTTTCAGAGAGCAGGTGCTTTAAATTTTGATGAAGTCTAGTTTATAATTTTTTTCTTTTATGGTTTGTGCTTTTTATGTCCTATGGAATTTTTGTCTAATTCAAAGTCACAAAGGTTTTCTCCTGTCTTTTCTTTTGAAGTTTTACATTTTAGGTTTTACATTTAGGTCTGACATTCATTTTAAATAAATGTATGTGGTGTAAGGTATGGGTTGTTATTCTTGTCCAAGTTGTTTTATCTATTCTAGGTCCTTCCTATTTCTGTGAATTTCAAAAGCTGCCTGTCAAATTCCAAACACACACACACACACACACACACCTGCTGGAATTTTGATTGGGATTACATTTAATCTATAGATCAATCTTGGGAGAATTTATATCTCAGTTTTAAATAGCCAAATCCATGAACATGCTATATCACTATTTAAGTGTTCTTCGATTTTTCATCAATGTTTTAAATTTTTCAGCATACAAATCTTGCATATATTTTGTTAGAGTTATCCATAAGTGTTTTATGTTTTTGATGCTGTTGTAAATGATGCTGGCATTTTATTTCAATGTCTAATTGTTCAGTGTTAGTATATAGAAGCACAGTTGAGTTTGCATATTGACTCTATATCCTACAACTTTGTTAAGCTCTTTTATTAGTTCCATTAGCCTTTTTAAACTAGATTCTTTGGTGTTTTCTACATAGACAATCATGTCTGTGAATAAAGATAGTTTTATTATTTCCTTTCTGATTCTTTATACTATATATTTTTATTTTAATTAATATTTTAATTAATTTTATTAATTATTGCATTGACTGGATCCCTTAGTATGGTAAATAATAGAAGTGATAGAAAAGGACACTTTTGTTTCCAATTTTAGGGACAAAGAATTCTTTCTTTCAGTGTTTATTTCATATATATAATGATGACATACAGTACTTCATTAAGTTGTGGAAATTCCCTTTTATTCCTATTTCACTGAGACTTTTGACCATGAGTATAAGTTGAATTTTGTTAAATGCTTTTCTAAATCTGCAGAGATAATCAAATAGATTTTTATTGTTGTTGCTGTTTAGTTTATTGATATGATAAATTACATTGATTTATTTTTGAATGGTAAACTTCTCTTGCATTCCTGGGATAATTTCCATTATTTATTATCTTTCTTATATTTGTTGGACTTTATTTGCAAGTATTTTATTAAATATTTTTATTTATAGGTAATGTTAGTCTGTAGTTTTCTTTTCTTACATTTGTCTGCTTTTGTTACTAGGATGATACTGGTCTTGTAAAATAAGTTGGAAATTGCTCCCTCCTTCTCTGTTTTCTGAAAAAGTTTGTGTTGAATTGGTATTGTTTATGCCTTAAGTGTTTGGCAGGGTTTCTGCGATGTTATGGCCTGAGTTTTCTTTGTTGGAAGACTTTTACTACAAATTCATTTACATATGTAGATACAGGACTGTTCAGATTCTCTATACCCCTTGAGAGACTCAGTAGTCTGTGTCTTCTAAAAATCTGTCAAATTTATCTAAGTTAGCAAATATATTGTCATAAGTCATTCATAATATTTCCTTGTTATCCTTTTAAAAGGAGATTTTTTTGCCCCATTGGAAAATATTCAATGAATGGAATATTTGATTATGCATATATAAATAGACAAAAAGGGAGGGAATTGGAGGGATGTGGCTAAGTGTAAATTCAGTCAGCAGGCTTCTGCAGTAAATATTAATGAAGGTGATACAGGGTGCAGCCAAGGGGGGGGGCAAAAAAAGATTTGGAATAGTGTCCAGAATTCAAAGTGTATAGGAATATTGGAGAGACATATAAGATGTCCTCCCCCCTCCCCCCCACAGGTGTGAGTTGGGGGAAGGAACAAATAGAGCCAGGGCCATTGAGAGCTGTTTTGCATAGCAACAGTTTTGCAGCTAACCTCTGGAATGATTATTTAACATATCTATAACCTTTAACTGGTTTCATAGATATGTTAAATAGCTGTGGCCAAGTTTTGGCCAGGTAGAAAGGGGAGCAACGCTGTTTCAGCAGAGTGAAAGAGTACCACTCGGCTTTGCCAGAATGGAGATCCCTGCAGCCAGATGAAAGAGAGAGCCACGTGGTCTCAGCTGGGGTAAGACCCCTTCTTGCCGAGGTGAAGAGCAGAGAGAACCATGCAGTTTTTGGAAGAGTGCAGACCCTTGCAGCCAAATGAAGAAGAAAGCCACACGCACTTTTGGTACTTTTGGTCAGAGTGCTGACCCCTGCAGCTTTGGTAGAAGAGACCCACATGGCTCCTGGGGTGCCCCCTTTGGCTGTGTGGCCTGGAATGTAGGAAAGACTTTGACTGGAACTGGGTACAAAGAACTCTTGCCAGTGGACCATGAGAGGGTACCACATGACTTTGGATTAACTAGAGATCCTGCCTGACACAGCTGATGATTCCAGCGGCCTGAAACACAGATGTGTGCTCTTTTCCTGATTTACGGTACCCGGAGTTGGGACAGTGGGAGAAGGGAGAGCTGTGGGGGTGTAGGTGTATACCCTGAAAGACTTTGATATTTTAGTGGAGGCATTAAGCCTAAATAGCATTAAATAAACGTTTCGTTTTCTTTTCACAAATCTCTGCATTGAGAGATGTCTTTCCAATTGGCGGTGGACAGAGGAGCCCAGTAGATATTACGATTCTGTCCTTGGGAGGGGTCCCTGTTCTGTAGCAGTTTTTGGCATCCCTAGGTGTGCCAAATATTGTGCCCCCCTTGGGCCTGTTGTTCAGTAACAATCCTATTCTTTGATAGTCTCAAAAGAACCCCAGGCTCCTGCCAGGGGCGAATTTCAGTCCAGATCCTTGCTAGTTAGTGCCTCTTCTGTGCAAGCCCCACACCCCTTGCTTCCTCACACTGTGCTCATTTCCTCTCAGCATCATTGTTTTCATGGTCCCTTTCATCTTATAATGCTACCTTCTCCTTTTTGGTATCCTTTAAGGCTTTTTTAGCTTGCTCAGTGGGTGATATCTGCCATGACTTCCCTCATCTGAGTTCCTACATCAAAATTTAGTTCTTTAGTATTACAGATAATGGGTAAATAATGTATTGAACTGTGTGCAACAAACTGATATTAGACTTACTTATTTTTTAAATTATTTATTGACTTGAGAGAGAAAGACATCAGTCTGTTGTTCAACTTCTTTATGCATTCATTGGTTGATTCTCGTGTGTGTCCTGACCAGGGATCAGACCTGCAACTCTGGTGTATTGGGACAATGCTCTAACCAACTGAGCAAACTAGCCAGGGCCTTGATATTCAATTTAAAAACACAGAGGGCAAAGAGTGCGTAGATAGCATTTTGTTTAATTCTCCTAGTTCACACATATAAGGAAACAAGTCTGCAGAGCCATTAAAAACTAGTATGAGTAGAATTAGAACTCTAAGTAAGGTTTTACAATTCTCGCTGTCCATTTTTTTCCACTAATATATTTTCTTATTCTCTGTGTTAGATATATATATATATATATGTAGGTGTAAATGTGTGTATTGTGTGTGTATATATATATATATACATATATATACATATATATATATATAACTTCCCAATAAAACTATAACTTCTTGGAATAAAACATGCAACTTTCTGTATCTTATATTTCTGACTCCCCTAAAGCACTTATTAAAATAATTAGCATCTAGTAGGTACTCAAAATATTTGGATTGAAGGATTAATTTGTTTGTAAAATTTAACTAAGAGAAATAAGGCAGAAAAAGGCAAATACTGCTGGAACCCACTTATATGTGTAAAATAAGAAAGTTGAACTCAGAAACAGAGATTGATTGATGGTTATAAGAGGCGAGGCACTGAGGGAAATAGGAAGATGTAAGCAAAGGGTCCCAACTCCCAGTTATAAGGTGAACACTTTCTGGGGAATCTAATGTTCAGCATGCAGTCTATAGGTAATAGTACTTACTGCATTACATACTTGAAGATGCTAAGAGAGTAGATCTTAAGTGTTCTCACAACACAGACACACGGACAAAAGCAACTCTGTGAAGTGATGAATGTGTTAACTAAGTTTATTGTGGTAATTAATTCACTATACATGTATACTATTAAATAATCACATTGTACACCTTAAAATTAACACAATGTTTTATGTCTGTTATACAAGTGGGGACCCAGAAAAACAGAATTTATTTATAAAAATTATATATTTATTCTTACATGTTTAAACTTCAGTCACCTTCAAAGTGCTCTCCATTGGATGCAATACACCTGTTGAGACTTTTTTCTACTGCTCAGAACAGTTTTTGAATGCGTAGAGTTTGATGCCTTTTAGTGCTTTTGCCATTTGTTGTTCTACCTCTTCCATACTGACAAAATGTTTCCCTTTGAGGGCTTTTTTCATAGGGGGAAAAAAAGTGTCTTGGGGTGAAATCAGGTGAATAAGGAGGGTGGGGCCTAGGGGTCATGCTGTTTTTGGTCAAAAAGGGCTGAACACTCAGTGTGGTGTGGCAGGTGCACTGGTAAATCACCCATCATGAAAAGGGCAAACCTGTTGAAAAAGTCTTCAAAAAAATTTCACTAAAGCCAAATGCAGCCTCTTACAACAATGCCTGCTGGTACACTGATACAGATGGGTACCTAGAACACTCACCTAGCAGGGGAAGGCTGCACTACAAGGGGCCCATCCTCCAGAAGATAATTTCATTTTTTCTGGGGTCCCCCTCTTAATAAAGCTGGTGGGAAAAAAGAAAAGGATCTGGAGTTTTGGAAGTTCACTTTGGGTGAATTTCAGTCCAAGAAATCCAATTAGATTCCATCTCAGAAGTATACTGTTGTTATGTTGCAAATATTCTACTCATTTAGACTTGAGCCAGGATATACTGCTTCCATCCTAGCCAGACATCTAAAGCACAGGTGGCAAACACAAGTCCCGTAGGCCAAATCCACCCTCCACCTTGTTTTATCTGGTCTGACACCTTGTTTCTATCCAGTGGCAGCACCAC